GTAGATGATGGTGGCAAAACGTGAGCACGTTAGGGTGTAAAAGAGGCTTGTTCCGAGGCGTTCATGGGCGATAAATCGTGAGCCCCAGCTGGGTTCGGTTTAGTCCTAATCCTTTGCCCGGACCACGAGCGACAATCACAAATCGCTAAAGCTAAAAAGAAATTTTAGGAAAATGATAGTGATGCTATTATATACCATGTACACGCTAGACGGGAGTAGCACCAGAACCGGGCCAGGCAAATGGCGAAGGCAATTATAGCACAATGCGACGTCATAGGCTGCTGGAACTGACTGTACAGCAGAGGAAAGCGGTAACCAAGTAGTGCTCTAGCGAACCGCTGTTGCTATTGCTATCGCGTCGCGGAAGCAGCGAACCGTGTCGGTTTCCTCGCCACGGACTCTTGAGGCCTCCGACAACCACCCTGACGACCTCCAGCGCCTGAAGAGCGGCTGACGTGCACCAGCCTCTGGTTCGTCCAAACTTGCCTCAGCAGCATTACATGAATCAACGAGCCACCCTACGAAATACCGCTGACCCTCCGATTCAGAAAGAAATCTACGTAGAAAGACAGATCAAGCGACAGAAATACAGGACAGACGCCCACACGGGTCCACATAAAAGGCGGTGTGGGATGTGAAACATTCCGGGGGGCAGGGAACGACTCGGAGGGGTATTATTCGAGTGTGAGGACACTGTTACCCCTCCGGTACTTTCTTTTCCTGCGCTTCCCAGTGCTGCAGGGCTCTTCGAGGATTAAACGCTTGGAGAAATTACTGTTGTTATTATATGGCCAGTAGCACCGGTGCGGCTTTCACGACACGGGTACCGCAGCGACCTTAGGTCGCTAGCGAAAAAAAAACAGAGTGCACACTATACCGGCCACGGCCATTCATAAGGTTGAGATAGGTTTTCTTGACTATCGATACGGTAATAGGCGCTGTTGCTTTTTATTTACGTCAAAGACAGATACATCTACCTGTAACTTAGCATCTATAGATACTATTAGACACAATGCATAGAACTACAGCAATACATGAAAAACATCTGTAAAGAATGGCATACAATTTAACTGTTATAAGTATAACAATCAAGTAATTGAAAAGCCGAACCCTTTTGTTACTGTACATGCGTTCTGTCACGTAAATAGCCACTAGCCTAGGAACCGTTATATTAACTATTTAATTAATCCCAAATAATACGAGTCATTCTCTTTATCCGTTTTATTTATCTATAGTTCAGACTGTTACCAGACAAAACGGAGCTATATAACACACTTGTCGTATTTTGCTCGACTCAATTATTATAGGGCAGACTGCTCGGTTCAGCATGGTATCTGCCAACAAATCGCTAGCCAAAAGAGAACCACAGTTCTCGTGAAGTCGCATTCGCGAAGGGACTAGCGGGTTTCCCCTAACCTCGAAGGCAGCCAAGCATTGTACGCTATCCCCCTCTCACTTTTCCGCTTCCACACTGGCGCTTCGTCTCCGCTATCGAGTAATGACAAACAATTAAAGCTAATTCAATCGCACTCGCCCACCCGGCCTGAAAAGGCAGACTAGAAGGGAAGCAAGCCCCCTCACGCTGTGAGAAGAAGGAACACCTTCAACATTCAGTTGAAGCCGTCCGGGTTGTGAGCGGTTGCAAGCAGAGCGGTTGCCAATAGGCGGCTCCTGTAACTGTCTTTTCAAGCGACAGAAGGGAACACGAGAAGGAGAAGTTGAGTGACGAAGATGAGTCCTGCTCCACAGACAGTTGCAGATCAACTGTCGCTCCATCTATAATATCTGTAACTGATGTGCACTGGGCTAGGCCAAACTTGTGGGCGTTGAACGGTCGTACAAGTTGTAGGGGCGTGCAGACCCAGCTGTTTGTTCCTATACTGGAGAATCATGCTAGGCTAAGCAGCGTATTGGCAGTGGCGTCGCTACGTCTTTGATGCGTGTTGGTGGACCATTGCAATTCTGCGGCTGTCGCTGTGCTGCAGTGTCGTCCACTCTAGGCCTTGGTGTCTCGGCTGTTTCAATCGCGTTACCCTCCAAAGACCCCCTGTTCCTCCATGAGGACTTGCACGATCTCAGCCAGCGTCTACTGCTGGCTAGCAGTCTCGTCCTCATTGTAGGTGAGAGAGGCCTGGGTCTATCTGGGCGTTGCGGTTGTCAAAACGATTGAGGCTGCCCAGTATTGTCTGCATTACAACTTTCTCGCTGCGTTTCTCTCTCTTCCTTCGCGTCTCTCTATACAGAAACCGCAGCATGCGAGCAAGCGTACGAGAAAAAGGTGGTACGCTGCCTATAGGAACAAGGCGGATAGACAGACGCCGTTGTAGTAGATCATGCTAGCCAGTCTGCCTGCCTGCTTTGTCGTTTGTGTAAACCTGCCAGTACTGATGGGCTATGAGCGGACTCCGGAAAGCCGACTGGCCCAGGGGGCGTGCTGGTGACAGCAAACAGTCTCAAGAGATGCTCTGAAGAGTCCTGCTTTCCTGTCTACAGTCGTCTCTCCTTTCTAGGCTTTGGCGGAGGGTACAAAACCACATACACGAGCACACTCGCAGCCATCATTGACATACACTTCTCATAGAACACGTATTGTGAAGAGATGGTAAGCTACCTTTTTCCTCTTACGGCAGGCCAACAGCGAACTGCGAGTCCTATTGCCAGCCGTACAGTTCAATAGACTTTTGGTGCGAAGCCTTCCTTACCACAGGCAGAGACCTAGAGACAGGACCTATTTATTCCTGGCAGCAACAGCTCTGTTCTTTCTACCCTCAAAAGCCCGATCCCCGACTTCCACTCCGCACCCCTGCGGGGCAGCTAGGGAGAAGCTGTGTGCGAGCGGGTCTATGAGCCTTCCTAGCAGCATCGTGAAGCTGAGGAACGACAACGACAAGCGTGGGGCAGGCTAACGGCAAAACCAAACGGCGCTCAATGGCTTACCTGCTGCTGTTGCTGCCTGCAACCTCACCGTCGCCTGGTTGTGACCAGAGGCAGCACAAGCAAGGCTTTCAACCCCAACCAAATCTAGCGGAATATCTCCTAGCCACAGGAACCTTGTGGACGCCTGACAGTAGGGTGGCTGGCGTTTGGCGACCATAATGTTTCTGCTACTGTTGCTATTGAAACTGTTGCTGATGCAGCTGCCGCTACATTGTTCTTACCTCCTGCTCCTGTGTAATGTGGCAAGCATTGTCGCAGCAGCGACGGCTGTTACACTCCTGCCATGTATGGCCGATTTGCGGCACGCACGCATTTATCGCTGAGAAGGTCCCTTTTTCTTTCTCGTTTTGCCTGTCCATCGTTCGTTCTTTATCACCGGGATGTAGAGGGAAGAGAGCTGTGGCTGGTTGTGGGCAACTGCGAATTTCGCGACCCTTTATCCCTCTAGCATCGCTTCGCCATCTTGCCTGTGTCGTTTGGGAATGACACCGCCATTCGGCTGCCTACTGCTAGAATCAATGTAGCTACACAACAATTTTAGATGTTCGATGCATTTCATCCGCAAACAACTAGAAATAGTTCTCAAACGGCTAATCTGAATTTAGGCTGGAAGATTTATACGGAAGGATAGACACCACAATCAAAATTCTTCCTACGGAGAGGGGTTGGATGCGATATGAGAACAACTAGCATATAGCAGAAAAACACTTGTGACATTGTATACAGCCGACAGAGTAACTGCAATCGTAGGAATAGGTGATAATAAACTGTCAGTGTCAGGACAAGTATGTTGTAACTCATGCGTCAAACTGCGCCGGTGATGCTTCGGACTGTACTGAGTGCGAATTCGAAAGAGAGAGTCTGAAACTAACATTGGACTGCCTATGCGGACACTGTCCCCGGAAGAAGCTCCTCGTTCCAAACGCGTATGCTTAGAGTAGCACCTGTTCTCGAACAAGTCCGTTTCAGGCCATACATCATAAAACTGGAGCGATGCCAGTTGGCCGAGCTCCGAGTCTACCTAGGGTTCTTTCTGTTGTGGCTTCGCCTTTTTTCTTCCCTTGGTTCTATGCGATCCCGACCCTCTCTGCCAATCTCCTACTTGAGGGAAGCAGATAGGAGGGTCATTATTCCGTATAAAATCTTGCTCATCCGAAGCTTAATTATTGAGTGAACATTGGAACTGCCACTAGGATTGTAGCCGATGCGTCAAGAAAACGCAGTCAGAATGAAAGATGGGCAAGGTGGCATCGCGTTCGAGTTCAATGTCGACCTTTAACGGCCTCCACATAATTCCTCCGCCTGTATCTATCGACGTACATGGTCGACAAAAAAGCTGTGGTAACCAACGGACGACATATGCACATCATAAGAATGGCCGTCAGCGAAATCAATAGGAAATCGAAAATATAGTGGTGGCCATTAAATAAGGAAGCGAGCCTAAAGGATCCTGTATAAAGACATTTTACTACAAGTATCTGCGTTAAAACAACTATAGAGTCATTTTAATGTCATACTTGTGTTGTTAACCCGAACCTGTGGTAAAGTGCAATAGGATAAAAACTAGATGGCTTTAAATGTTCATGTTCTCAAGAAAACGACGAGGGTTAAACACCAGACCAATATCTGCCTGTTCGCCCCTTCGTCCTTGAGCCTCCTCACTTCAAGAGAGTGCTTTCGAGTGGATCGGGCCTGCTGCTTGCTTCCACCGGGGTGGAGCACGTTGTCCTGTTTCAACACTGTTTATTTTTCCCACCCACTACATCAGCTCAATGCGGGCTGCGATTTCCACAGGAATAGCTAGTCTCTGATGCGCCTAGCCACATCTTATTCGAGCCAATGTTCGAGCGGGTCCAACACGTGGGCACAAGTGCTCTTTCGAACAGCCTGTTAAAGGAAAGAATTTTTTTTTGAAACGCCGTAGCTACAACTTTCCAAAGAAAAATTCAGCTAAGTAGGACGTTAATGAAGGCAGAATCATAGTTTAAGGTAGATAATTCGTATAACGATGAAAAATCAACGAACACGATTGGCAAACGACATTTTTTTGTATTTCCTTACAGATTCGTCAAATCAGGATTTTGGCTATGCGCAAAACGGGGGTCAGGGCCCAGGTTTCTATGACTTTTTCCCTGGACAACAAGCGGAAGGAATGCCATTTGGACATACCGCAAACCCAAGTCTATCACCTCGAAACGGTTTGTACACGTACATATACATGCGATGATGAATAGAAAAGAAGAAAGGTTTAAAATACAGTAATATGCTATGCATAGGGTTTCATTATTGCCAACTGAGTTCGACTGTCAAACGACTCACTTCAATATTTAAACTAACTATTAATAGACGAATGCCCGATTAATCTGAATTTATTTGTAGGTGTCAACATCACAGCGGACACCGGATTTCACCTGCAGGGTGGACAGCATGGCGAGCTGCAACTAAGTGCAGCTCAACGGTCCAGTCCCGATTCTGTATTGAGTCTACAGGGCTCCGATCCACCCTATGGACAACCGCCTCGAAGCGATTCCGGTGGGAGTTTTTCAACTCCCCTTCTGAACGAGACGCCTGTCTGGTGAGGGTGAATCGAATGATTCGGCAAGTCTGGGCATATTGACAACGGCGACCAGAACTGCTGAGAAGTGATCGTAATATGAATAGGAAAAATAAGGCGGTCACGATCGAGAATTCGAATGGTAGCCAAGTTGAGGTGGATATCGCGCTCCACATGCAGCGCTTACTGTTTCATAGAGTTTGTGCTGTCTTCACGGCGGTTGCGGTAGAAAGTAGGAAAGAAAGATCAATAAGATGAGGTTCTAAAAGCTGAAAAAAACAGGTCGATGATAACATGCTAGTCGAAATCAAGGAATCGACCACAAGGCCTTCGAAAGACGTTTTAAGTCAGTAAAAATGGCGCGATCGACCACAAACAGAGCATGGCCACTAATGTTGCTGTAACTACTGTAAAACTCTCATTGCAACTATTACCAGCAGGAAATCCGCGGACACTGGTGCAACGGAAGACCTGATTAACTAACAACGGAGCTATCGTCCTTCTGTGAGCATTTTTTGCCTTCCGATCTTTTAGCTCAGGACATGCCCGCTTTTCGCGCCCACCGCCGCCGACCAACGTCGATTTTTAACATTTTGTCTGTTTACCTATTCTCATGAATCTGTGACATCGAGAAACAGCAATGGCTCTTAAATGGTGCCGTCGTGTTTTTCTCGCAGCTTGTACAGAACAATTTCGTAGACGACAGCGACGCCAGTATCAGCACGTGCACACGTATAACTGGCCAGCTAATGAAGGCGTGCAAAGCTGAAAGAAGAGACTGAACGCGAGCGGAAGAAAGAAACACACACACAAAGCTTCCTTACGTTCTTCAAAAATCATTGATAAAGACGAAGTGAAACATAAGCGACAAGTGAACGAATATAGATGCTTCGAATCCGGTGAATTGCTAGTTTATGTAATTATATTGATAATGAATATTAATAATATTATTAAGGGCGTATGGTATAAAATAAACGCATAAGGTTGATGATGAGCGAGCTATCATACTTACCAGGTGTCAATTCACACAGGGAAATACTAAAAAAAAATACACACACAGACGAGTATATAAGAGAGGCAACGAGCAAGTTAGAAAGCGGAGAAGGATTCTGAGCTTGGTTTCGTGGCAGTAACGTCCTTGGTCTGATGGCAATAGAACGAAACCCCAGCAAAAGCGAAACCTCACATTTTTTCCTTAGATCTTTCTCGAAGGGAAGAGCAGAACATCTGGAAGATCGTATTGTCATGATTCGCCAGGTTGAAGCGTGATAACGAATTGAGCGCTTGTCGTACGCTTTTCTAGACCGCAGGTGTTGCGACGCCGTCGTTGTCGCTATTGCTGTTTTCAACTCCAAACAAATAGCTCATCAGTTTTTCTGTAAATAGTCTGTATACTGTAGCAGATCAAATGAAATAGCAGTACAGATGCACACGAGAAAATTGTACGGTTGGTGTTCAGGACGAGGAGAAAAAAATTGTCGCGTTCTGAGCTGGGCACCATAGTTGCTTAGCAAAGCCTTGCCGGAACGTTAAACAAAAGTCACTTACACATTTTCGATTCATTGAAGATAATAACAAGAAAATGAAAGGCTAATTGATCATTCACGATGGGCTGGCAGCACGCGAATATTAGTATTGATTTTATTTTGATTCCATTCGCTTCAGTCTTCCGGTGCCCCTCTTTTGTTCGAGTTTTTGTTAAAATAGAGGCTCGGTAGCGTAAAGAAGAAATTGGACAGGTCGGAGCGGGGTTACGACGAAGACAATGTTGAGTATCGGCAAAACCCCTGCAGCATGTAGCCGATATAGGCCGCTTAAAACAGATGTTTGGCGATGTCAGAAAGCTAAGGGTCGTGCTTAAAATTGCAGATTTGACCAATGCAATGTTGTATTAACGAAGATGCAAAAACAACACCTCCTTGTGACCTTGAAATATATTAGACGGAAATCAGAGTCGCCTGTATCAATATGACCTAGTTTAGCGGAAAAAAATAGCCAGTGGAAAAACGATATACAACGGTAAGAAAGCCAGCGACGGAGGAGATGGCGCCCACAAAAAATAGGGTGGGGTGAGTACACGGGGATAGTTCACGTCAATAGATCGATGATGGCCGAAACACGACGGACAGAAAAACGCTAATGTAATTGAATATAACTGATTGACGCTACTGACATAAATCGATATATAAATATAACAGATAATACAGAAATAATTATACGAAGATGATTATATTAATATTATAGTAATAATGATGATAATAATTATAATGATAAAGTGAATAAATTCAGCTTATTACTGTAACGTGGTTAAAAACACCCTTTACGCTTCTAACCCTTTGAGTGATGAACACCTATTGATTGACTGAACAATTGATGAATTAATGTTAAAGGGACGATGGGAAAGGAAACAAAATTGTGGGTAGTTTGGCAATTAATATGACGCGGTCGGCAAGCTATAAACTTGAAATTGTACTCAATTACGCTGCTGTAAGAAAATAAATTAGAGGTAATATGATACAAATAAAAGCAAAACATACCTCCAGATACACAAGCTGATCCCCCACTATTGATCTTACTGGTCGGGAGATCATTGGTCATTGTCGCTCGTCGAAAGTGGGGTCTTTTTGGGGCAACTCTTCTCATCGGTGGAAACACACTGGAGCTGTTTAGTAAAAGTCAAAATATTTGAGACTGGCTGAATCACGTATCATAGCTAGCAGAGATTGATACATACACAGTAGCGGAACAGGATGCCCGTAATTTTATTAGAACTATTGATCTCACGTAGTTGATGGATGACGGATAACTAGCAATACTGTTTAAGTAGCGTTAGCTATGGATTTCGGCAATGAGCTAGTCGGAACAACAATATTTTTCCCTTTTTGTAGACAAAACATACGCAAGGTAAAAAAAAAACACCGACATATATCTCAAGTAATGAAGCAACGCGCCCGGAGAGCGAACTTAATTAGGGCATCATTACAGATAACCTCCGTAAACACGTACATATTTGCAATAGTTAGCGCAACGACAGGGCAGGCACGCTGTTGGTACAATAAGTGGCGCCTGGCGCTTTTCGATTCGTCGATGTAAATATGGGTGAAAATATAAATAATGTTAGACGGAAGCTGCAGAAAAGAGGCGTCGATGGCAAGCCCGCCGCGTCAAAACCGCGTCCCTTTAGGTAGCAGAGTATACTTGATGGTGACGACTAATGACCATAGCCGTGTGGATAACGATTTCAAAAATAAGAATGAACGCAATGCGGATTATAAAGATAGAAATGCAGGTAGCATGTTCGTGTTTGGATCGCCGCATTCTGGATGCCCTGTCCATACGCGTGAGTTGTCGTATATAGAGGTGGACCGGCGTTCTGCTGCTGTTGCTGTTGTGGCAATCAGTTTTCGTTTGTGTGTACCATGCGAAGCAGGCCATCCGTTGACGCTGCTAAGTTCAGCGTAAGTTTGGTATGGAAAAGAAAAAGGTAAGGGACGTTTGGCAAACACAGGGCAATGATAATTAAGCGGAAAGTTGGCTCATGTAAAAGAATGAAAAGATGAGAGAAGTAAAAACGATGTTAGGAAGCGCAAGTGAATGAGCGGCAAGGTTCCTTGTACCCCACGTATCACAGCAGTATTGAAGACAGGCGACAGATACCATGACAATTCAGCTGCCACCATTGATTTTCCACCGCGTTTAGCAATGCATCGAACCTAGGGTTGCATATTTGGTAAGAAATGGGTAATTTTTCGTGGGCGTAGCTTTGGGGGCCAAGGGACCTTCTCCGCCTCAAACTCAGGACCATCCGAACACAGAACTTACAATTCTCAGGACTAATTATCAAAAAACATATTCAGCAGAAAACATTTACACAAACATGTACACACGCAACGATCCACATACGGCATTGGTTATATAATCATTTTCATGGATACAAATAAACACAGATACCTACAATATAAGCGAGCGGCGTGAGAAACTTGAATGTAACGTATTCGCTCAACGTCCATATCACTTGTAAGAAATCGTTTCCTTTTTCTTCCATCGCAAAATGAAAATATTCCCAGACAAGAAGTATAAACTCTCTCAATATCATGGATAATTATCTACATAGTAAAGTGTATGTGGATAAAAAAACGAATGAGTTGACCATACTTGGACTAAAACCGGGGAAGTTGTGCGAAACAACTAAGACTACTGTAATAATGGACAATAATTGTATAAGAGAAATCAATTTTATCAAAACTGTGAGTGAATATGCAGCCGCTGCTTCCATCATTGCAAAAAAAAAAACAAAAAAAAAAAAAGCAAAAAGGAAAGTAATAGAAAGTTATAATTATAATAATGATGATGATGATAAAAATAATAACTATTATAATTATTAAACAATTGACTAAATCGGACGTGTTTATTCAGGAAAGCAAATATGACGCTACGAACAACAATACGACACACGTACACACAAACCCGACACATTTTTAAATTGCAACTCAGTGTAACAACAGCCGAAACAAATGGGAGACGCACGCCGAAAGCTGATACAAAATCGGATCGAAAAGAATAACTGGAATACTATTAGTAGATAAATAATAATTATGATGACAATGATAATGGAATATATCAAGACGATTATGATAACTATGAGCTAATGATGGTGGTAATAATAGAGAGAACGAAGAGACCACAGTGATTAATTGATGAAATAATTAATTGGTGATGATAGCGATAAAAATGAGATGAGTCGATGAAGACGCAGCCGATGAGGCTGTTGAAGCAGCCGCATACGAGCAGAAGAGTGACATCCTGCTAATAAACAGGCACGTTAGAAAAAAACGCAAAATAATAAACGATTGTTGTCCTTTAGATTAGATTAGATTAGAGATAGATTAGATTGATAGATTGATTGATTAGATTAGATAGATAGATTTACATAGATAGATAGATAGATAGATAGATAGATAGATAGATAGATAGATAGATAGATAGATAGATAGATAGATAGATAGATAGATAGATAGATAGATAGATAGATAGATAGATAGATAGATAGATAGATAGATAGATAGATAGATAGATAGATAGATAGATAGATAGATAGATAGATAGATAGATAGATAGATAGATAGATAGAT